GCAGGCTGTAATCAAGCAATTCGGTGGAACTGGTTATGAGAGCTCAGATGTTGTGGTTATTGATGAGATTGAGATGCAAAGACATCAACAGCTGGAAAAATTGTACAGATCCACTCGTGGAGGAAGGGTAATGATCCTTTTCCCCTTTGTTTAGTTTGCCTTAAATTTACTATTGTATGAATCAATAACATGTGCTTTGACTAAAACTCAATTTGCTCTGCATATAGAACCTCCTATTGTGTTACTGGGAGGGGTTTTTCATCGGTGTATTGTGGGGGATGGTATTTGGAAACTGAGGTGCATGTTAGCCATGACGAATGTGATGATAATTTGTTAGGGACTTTGGTTCTATGGCTGAGGACTGAATTAGCAATATATGGTGGACCTTTTGTTTCATATTAAATTCATTTGCTTTAATGTGTGTTGGTTCTTATTACTTTCAGGATTTTCAGAGAGACGTTGTCAAAGCAGCAGAAGGGTTTGCTGCCATAGGGTATAAGCATATTGAAACGGGTAAAAATTTTATCTGCATTTTCTGCAAATTACATTTTGGGATCACAGTTGGAAAAGTTGCATTGGGATAAGTAACTTGAGCTTGTCATGTGAACCTAATGGTGGTCAGGAACCAAGTTCTCTGAGGACTGCTGCAGATATGGAACTGAAAACAGGGAAAATATCAACGAGAACATTCTTGCCAAGGCTGCTGCCATATATGGTGATGCTCGTAAACATGTAGAAAAAGAGCAAGAAGATTTTAATAAGGTGTTATCAACACAGGTGGGCTTTTATTTTATGTTGTGGTCTTTTAGTCACATTTCTTATTATCCCATATAAAAATATGTTACTTTGGATAAAAAAGTCTATTTGTTTGCTTCTCCGGTTGTGTGGTTAATATATTGGGCATCTTTAGTTATTTCCTTTTCAATATTTTGGTTTTGGAGCTACTGACTGGCTCACCGCTACTTGAGTTCTATACCAGCGTGAAGTAGAAACATGACCTATGTGTTTGCAATGCTCCAGGTTATGGATCCATTGAGAGCAATGATCACTGGTGCTCCCCTGGAAGATGCTCGTCATCTTGCGCAGCGTTATAGTCGCATGAGACAGGAAGCAGAGACCCAGGTAATAAAAGAAATGGTATCCTGCAGCTCAGTAATTTGCCATATCCAATATTTTTAATGGCTTAACACATTTTCATATTACCTATTCTTGTTATTTGCCCTGGAAACTCATAATCCATATTGAACATGAGGCAAACAGGCAGCAGAGGTTTCCAGAAGACAAGCACGAGTAAGAGAAGTTCCGATTCCTGAAAATGTTGCAAAGGTACAAGCAGCGGAAGTGAAGATGCAGGAACTGAAAGCAAATATGGCAGTTCTTGGTAAAGAAGCTTCTGCTGCATTGGCTGCCGTTGAAGCACAGCAACAAAGATTGACATTTCAAAGGCTCATAGCAATGGTATAAATACACCATCAGTGTCAGGATATGAGTTTTAGCACAAAGCATATTGTAGTTTTGACATTCAAGATCTATTTGTGCAAGGTTGAAGGGGAAAAGACTTATCATTTGAGTGTGGCTGCAATTCTTGGCGAGGTCGAAGCTGAGGTTTGTTATGGGCTTTTTGTTGTCTTTGGTAAAGACATTTTTTCTCCATTTGAATTACAGAAGCTGATATTTTGGCTTGAAACTTGGGTCAGATGGTATCAGAGAAACAGCATAAAGAATCTGCTCCTCCTGTAATGACATCAGAGAATGGCTCAGAGAAAACAATGTATCACTTGGCTGAAGTAAGTTAGCTTAATTCAGAAGGTTTGTCTTCCCAATTATCTTAAAAGGAAAAGTGAAAATTTTCCTTCAAGTTGAAATTTGGAAAGACTAAATAAGTGACTTTGAAGAAAGCAACTCACTTTTTTACAAGGAGGCAGCTTTTGGTGGTTGAATACAATAACATATATAATTATATTTACTCTTTACCTTTTTCTTTATCATTGTAGTTAAAATTTGGAAATTAATCACTTTGCTTTGACCCTACCTTCTTCAGAGTGGTTAGAGTGGAGGCAACTAGGATCTTGTACCACTGATGTTTTATTAACTGTCTGCAGGTAATGCATCCTTTTGTTGCTGACTCCGAGAAGGAACTAAGCTTGTCAGTGGGGGACTTTGTTGTTGTGCGAAAGGTTTGTTTATTTCCTTGTTGAATTATATATCTCAATTCAACATACGAGCATTTAGTTCAATGATAATTAATAAGAATAAGATGCATCAAGATTGTAGTTTAACAGACTAGTTTGTATTAATATTTAAGCTGAATAAAACTAGAAGGAAATCATTTTTTCTACACATTTCTTGCTTAGCTGGCAATTCATCAACCTATTGAAGCTTCGACCTTTTATATACTTGTTCAGCATCTTAAAACTGTGTTTGCATGCTCAGGTAAGCCCATCAGGATGGTCTGAAGGAGAATGCAAAGGTAAAGCAGGCTGGTTTCCCTCAGCTTATGTGGAGAAGCGCCAGAGGATTCCCACAGCTGATGAAATTTACTGAAAATTCAAACCCCCCCCCCAAAGAACACGAAAACAGCATATCATGTTGCTATCAATCTCTATTTTCAGCTGTTTTCCCTGTTCTCATGTCTGTAATATGTTGAATTATGAAAATTTCATTCATGCTTTTGCAGTTTGTATTCGTTTATCGATTTTCAATGACAGCAATATGGTTTTGCATTAATTAATACTTCTTTTGAACTGTATGAAATGCATGACTGCATCTGTTCCTGCAACCAGCGGAAACCCACCATGCTTATGTGATCCAAACTCCAGGGCCTTGCACTGACTGCATGACTGCATCTCTATTTATCGTGTGAAATCTTCAACAAACAAAGCTGAATACGATATCTCACGCTATGATACGGTGTGATGCGAAGTGCTACCAAGGATGTCTGCCTCATCAGAATGTTCTGAATTCTGGCGTAAACTCTTGGCTTTTTCGAGTAGATGTTCTGCAGAAGGACCTGTTAGAATGCTCAGTTTACTGCAACTCTTTTCAACCCTTACATTCCTCATTGGTGTGACTGTGATAATCTCCTCCTCAGTTGTGTCCTATTTTTTATCTTCGATCGTATGGTCCTGATCTGCATGTTTCTGTTAAAAATTTGTGGTTTACTTGAGTAACTAGCCCTAATAAATGCACTACCTAAAGAATATGGATAATTTTTGGATGTTATTTTCCTTGAAATCATGATTACCTACGAGACAGAGTTGATTGTTAATGTCAACCACACCTCCACTGGAAAAGAAGAGGTGAGCAGCGTGTGTAGGGATGTTCCAAGGAATTGAATCCACGTGGCATTCGCCATCAAGTTATATTATGGATTCATTAGTGACATTTTTGTTATTTTTAGCTAGTTAGAATCGAAAAACTGCAATCTCTTAAAAGAAATGGTAAGGAGAAAATCCTTTCAGCAATGCGGCGGGATTAGATAATAAATCAAAAAATAGAAAATTAAGGTCTTTAGTCTTTATTCCTTTCTTGCTTGGGGTTGGGAGATGATTTTATACACTTTGATTGATTCTAAAAGTATTATCGTCCACTAAAGAGATTTCATTCCCATTGCATGCTTTATAAAGTTTGACAATCCATGCATATGTTTAGTGCTGACGCATCCAATTTCACATTCAAACACCCCGCAAATCAACAAAGTGAGACGATCTATCTCTCTTTTTGTTAACATTTTCACATTATATGTCTATTAAAAGCAAGGAACTTGCTATTGTTTGTCCCACTTTGCTAGAATTAAGGAGACCCTAATTGCCCCTTAAAGCGAAATGTCATGTTTTGCTATGAAACGTATAAAACATGCATAAACATTTGCTTTTCAAAAGTATGGGATGGTTATTAAGGCAAATGGCGAAATGCCTTATTTTGTTACTATGTAACTTGACAATAGACATTAATCGGTGAGTTCTTTTGAAAACAGGGGATTTTGATTCTAATCATTGGAAGATGAAATCCCTTTTTCCTTTTTTTCTTTTTCCCCTTTTTCCAAGGGATTTGTTTGAACAATACCAAAAAGAAGTCGGTGCAAATGAGACCGACGCCAACCCAAGATTCTATTAAGTGATAAATAAATATTATTTTATAAAAAATGTTAATTTTTATTTTATATTATTTTATATTTTTAAAAATAAAATCAGGCCAAGCACAACTAGCATTTCTGCTGTCATAACTTGTAACTTGTGAGTTACATTTAACATATGGTCCAATATTAATATCCAAAAAACTAAATTAGCCTACTCAGTACTCACACCCATTTTCTGCAGCTTTTTCTTGGGTTTTTTTTCCGTCCTTTTCTTGCGTTTTTCCAGTTCATTATGTTCTGTTTTTCTAAAAAGTGGAGCAATTACAGTGTCTGAAACGCAAATTTCTCTACTGCATTGAGACTCGTGCAGTTTGTTTCTTTCTCTCTCTGCTAATATACCCAGAAAGAACCTTACTTTCCTCAAACCCTTGGAATATATATAGGCAAATTGCGTTTTTCTTCCTGTGGCTTTTTAAACCTTGATATTTCCATTCTCTCTACAAATTTAGGCTTAAGATGTTTGCTGCTACTCGGATTCGAGCTCTCACTGGCCGTGGTGTTCCTCTGATGGTAGTGCATTTCCCTGAGAGCTTGTTTTTGCCTATGAGGTAAGCTTTTCCCTTATCCCATCTGGGTTTTCTCTGAAATTTCTGTCTGGATTGAGGGTTATGAAGGGTTTTAGAGATATTTGCTTTCCTGTTTTTCACTAGGATGCGAGAAAATTACAGAATTTCTGCCCTCATTTCCTTTTGGGTAATGTGGTTTATGAGTTTGTGCTTCTGGGGTTCTAGTTAGGGGTAGCATCAAAGGTGACAAATTGGGTTTTGCTTATTTATGGTAAGAGTTTAAAGAATGCCTGAAAATTATGTCAAATTTTACTTTGTCTTGTTAGTTTGCTCTTTGTGTGGGTTTGAGCTCTCGTTGTCATCTGGGTTTGGATTATTTTTGCTGGAAGAGCCTTCATGCTGTTTGATTCTGTAAATTATTTGTTCATGTATCCTGATAAACTTGCTTCATCTTGGTGGGACATTGCTTTTGTTTCATAACTTTGACCATTTAATTACAAAGAAGATTTCCCCTCCCCTGGGTGTGGTATATAAGCATTTGAGTGCACATTCCTACTTGTCTCCATTTATAGAATGCGCAGAAGAAGTCAATGAGAAAAAAGGGTACAACTAGAAACATGAGCTAAAAGTTGTAATTGCATTTGATGTATGTATTAGTTCTTTTATGGTGGATTGAAGTTTTATTGTTCGCCACTTCATTTGAATAACATATCTGCTGGTTTTCCTTCAAGGTTTATAGTTTTTATATTATTATTATCATTGACAAACCATACAAATTTCCTCTCTTTGGAATGGGGACTGGTATAAGTAGAATCTTATTTTAAGGGTCTTGTATCATATTTTTGTTCTCCTTTGCCCCACCACAACCTTTTTTCCATTACTAAAGTTCTTCAATTTGAACCCCTCTTCATTGTTGGGTGCCCTTGGTTCGTACCCCACCAATTTTAAGCTGGATTATTAAAACAAGTGGATAAGCCATTTGGTCCAACAGTGCAGATTTTAAATTATGTGGTCCATGACTCTATCTAAAAGCCATTAAAAAAAGGATGACAGTGGGGCATTGAAGGGAGGTCTAAAGATTTCTTCTTTGTCTAGAACAAAGGGAGCAACGATTTATAGAACTATAACAGTCATGCTGAAAACTCAAGAACCCATATAGGCACTTGCATGCTCTATATTATCAGGTCTTTATCTTTATCTTCAATTCCATAATTCTATCAGTTATATCAACATTACAAAAAATATGGACACCAATTTTTCAATGATACTTTGTAAATCAAAATTCCATTAGTTTAACTTACCTCACTGAAACTTACATTTTTATACCCACATTGATAAACAAGGGACTATGTAACATCTTTAAGTATGATAGAAACTAAAGCATCTTGTTAGTCACCCGAGCTCCTGCTTTGTCCAATATAGACCTATACAACACAAATGCTTTTGAAAGCTGATGTGACATTAGCACTCCATATGTTTAATCACTTTGTCTCTTTTTTGTAATTTTGTTAGCAAATATATTATGCTCTTGTTATCTATTACTGATGGGAAAAATTGATGAATCTCTTCCTATATTGTGGATTTAGTAATCCCATGTTCCCATGGATGACGGATCACATTCTTCTTTGAATTCCCTGTCTTAAGCTACTCTGTCTTGTGCATATTTAATTTGTTTAGGATATTTATCCCCTATCTTCTAAATAACATGGTGATGTTAATTGGTTCTTCTTTCTTCCAATGCATCTGCCTGAATTAGATGTCTTCTCCCTTTTCCAGCCCATCTGTTTGTTGTTAAGTATGAGAATCTTATATTGTATTGCTCAAGTATTTTGCTTATATGTTAATTTTGTTCTTATCAATTTAGGTCCAGAGACAATAGTCCCGCAGCTGATGCCTGCTGTAAGGATTTTACTCTATTCTGCCATTAGACATGAAATGAAAAGCCTGCCTCTTTAAGGTATTGTTGGAATTTATGGATTGATATACTCCAAGTTTGGAATAGGGAATGAAGCCATTGGTCCGTGTAGCATAGGATAAATGTATTTATATGAATATTTACTGTAAATTGTCAGTCTGATGAAATTATTTAGATTGTTAGAACTATGTTTGAACTTCAAATTTTTCTCTTCCAATTTTAATGCCATTCAATATTAAAATGTGATCTCTTTGCGTGCCTCCTTTGAAGTGGATGCGGTGATTTTTAAGTGCTTGTGGAATTAGTTGGGTCAAAAGTCTTGGATAACATGTTATGTATATAGAGAGGAGTGCTATATGCGCACCAAACCCGAACGCACATGCGCTCACCTTTTTATTTTTTGATTTTTTAAAAAATAAAATATTGCACTCGGGTCAATAACAAGTTAACAACCGAGTGTAAGCTGAAGCATGTACACATATAAAGTCTAGACGTGTAGATGGAAATATGCAGATTATTCTTTCCTTGCCGCCTTTGGTGACTTCTTGAGTGACAGGATTTTACTAGTGGCATTTATTGACTGGTATTGATGGTGTTGCCCAAGTTCTTCCTCTTAGATCTGGAGTGTCCCAGAGCATACAGTCGGTTGATTTTGAACCCTTAAGACATCCACATAAGATTTTCCTCTCAGCTCCCGAGAATAAAACCCCTTGAAGTAGTCTGCAACACCTATTCTTCTAAACAGTGCTGGAGTTTCTGGTGTGACAAGGCTTGGTGCCGGACCCAAATCTCCGTCAAGTTTAGGGGCGTAGAATGTGGCGATAGAAAGCCTTTCCTTTTCTGAGTTAACAGTAGCTCGGTGCTCGATGCTACGGTATATTCCATTGGAAACAATCTGCAAAGCCACATGTGGTCGCTAATGATCGCCCGGCAATCAGAAATAGAGTGTAAATGACTGTCTCAATATCCATTACCTCCAAAATGTCTCCAATGTTGATGACAAATGCGTTTGGGAGAGGTTTTACTGGAATCCACTTCCCATCTTTCTTTATCTGGAGGCCTTCTACCTCACTTATCTGTAAGAGGATGGTGAGGCCAACGGCATCTGAGTGGGAATTAAAGCCGATAGCGCGCTCTGGCTGTGGGCATGGTGGATAATAGTTCATCCTCATAGATTGAAACCCTTCTTCAAACAGGTCTTCAATGTCTTTAGGGTCCATTCTTAGAGCCTTTGCCATGAGGTAAAGCATTTTCATGGCAAGGTTTTTCAGTTCTGCTGAATAAGCTTCCAAGGTTTCTCTGTATGCAAACCAAAAATGGAAAACTTCCATGTTTGTTTTAATTTTATTACATATCTAACACAAGAGAGTTTTTCTGAGTTGGTATAACAAACCTGAGTGGCGCAGGGAACTTAGGAAAGAGGTAAGGTTTCCTGAGATGAGTAGGTAGACTGACCACATAGAACAGGTCTCCCCAGTTAAGCTTCTGTTCCTCGGACACTACAAAGGCCTGTCCAAAGCCCTCCAATTCCCCTGGGTGTTGCCAGAACTTCTTCTTCTCTTCCATCGGAAGATCAAAGAATTCTTTGATCTCCAACTTCACCTTTTCCACCAATTCATTACATACTCCATGATTAACCAACTGCAACAAAAAATCAGATCATTCCGTTATGGATAATAGGTAGAGAAACGGATCTTATTTATAAAGTTAGGGAAATCCTACCTGGAAGAATCCCCAATCTTTGCATGCAGTGTGAAATCTCTCCATCTCGACATCCTCGGAGGGTAACTTTTTTAGGTCTATGACTGGAACATGGGGCAAAGAAAGTGTGTCAGCTACAAAGGGTGGATCTTCGTCAGTGCGGATATACCGTGGGGGAAGTTCGACGAGTGGCTGTTTCGCTAGCTCTTGAACACAAGGCACAGAGAGGGAGCCGCCTAGCTTTGTCAGCTGCGGTTCCATGGTGTGTAAGGTATATGGTTGCAGTCTCTGGTGCTTGGAAGCCGCTACCATATATAGAGGGCATGGTTTTGTCAAGACTAGCTTCATCAGGAAAATTTTTAATAGAAAAGCGATAGAAAGTTTAGTAATAATTTCCACAAAGAAATTATAGTAATAAATTTTAGAAAATAATTTTATTGGGATTGTAAATTTTTTTTTTGTTTTTATAAAAAATTATAAAAAATTGATATAAGAAAAATATTAGTTACAAAAATATAAGTGATTTTTGCATTAAAAAGTATATATATTTTTTGAAAAATCTGAAAAAAATTTATTTATTTAAAATTATATAAAAATAAAAACTAAAAATATTAATTTTATTATCCTTTTGTTGTAATATAAAAAATGAAAATTGTAGAAACTTTTCCCCGTCCAAACGCAGACACGAGTGTGTGGATCGGTAGATATCAATACCTAACCCTTGGTAGATTGGTTAAAACTCCATTTTGATCCCTAAACAATTGTATGGACCCCCGATTTGATCTTTAAACTAAAAAAATCTCTACTTTGGTCCCAACTTGGTCCTTGCATTAAAATTCCACCATTAACTCATAGGAGTTTAATGACATGTCAAAATTTTGAGGCAAGTCAGTTGTACAAGTAGATAAATGATGACATAGCAACATGACCTGTTACATTCTTACCCTAACACCCAAAAAAAAAAAAAAGTGTGGTCCACCAAAATTACAATTTTGCCATCATCTTCTTCCTCTAGCATCCTCTTTCTCAAATCTTCATCATTCATTCTTCTTTTTCTCTCTCTTTGCCTCCTTCAAGTCAACTTTCATCACTATTTTTCTGAATCAAACAGTCAATTCAATGAAACAGTCAAACAATCAATTCAAAGGAACCTAGTGCTTGGGTTGAATCGAACCCAACAAGCGCTCTTTCTTTTTCCTTCCTCTTCCTTGCCTTACCTTGCCTTGCCTTGCCTTCTTCATCAATCAATTCTTCATCTTCATCAAACAACCAAACCCACAAAGAAAAAAAAAAGATTTATATATTTTTTTATTTGTTGCCCCTAAGTTTGAAGGAACCCACACCTGGGTTCGAAAGAACCCGCGCTTGGGTTCCATCAAACCCAGCACGACCTAGAGCTTAGGTTCTAAAGAACCCACGCCTAGGTTCGAAAAAACCTGAACTTGCGCTTGGGTTCCATCGAACCCAGGCGTGATAGGTCGAAGGAACCCAACGATGGCTGTTGGAACAGTTTGCCCTCTGCTCTTCTAGGGTTCAAATGGGAAGAAGGGGGAGAAGATAGTGAGTCTAGGTAGAAGGTGAGTCCCACATTTTATTTTTTTGCTGGTCAGGAATCTGACATGTTTTTATGACATGTCATCTTTTTTCCATGTGTACAATTTACGTGTCACAATATTTGAACATGTCATCATGCTCCTATTAGTTTACAGGACACGTCACTAGATTTTGAACGGACAGACCAAGTTGAAGCTAAATTGATAAAGAATAAATACCAAATTAATAATTTTTTTAGTTTAAGGACCAAATCAGGGATCCATACAATAATTCAGGGATCCAAATAGGTTTTAACCTCATAGATTTTGTGGTTTGGTGCGCGTCAAACCTGCCACCGACAATCTAAAATCCCATTGACACGCTTTGATAGATAAAGGCTAAAATACTAATTTGGTCCCTCAACTTCTAGATTTATATCAAAATTATCTTTCAACTTTAAAAAATATTAAAATTATCCTTAAACTTTAACTTTGATACCAAATAGTTCTCAAACTTTGAGGATAATGCCAATTTAATCCTTAAATTTTGAAGATAAGTATCAACTTAGTTTTTAAATTTTTATTATAAATACCAACTTAGTTCTTGAACTTTAATTAGAAGTACTGATTTAGTTTTTCAATTTTAATTATATATTAATTTAATTTATAAATAAAAATATGTCATAATAATAAAATATGACTATTTTATTTTACACGTTATTAGTATTTAAAAAACTAACTTTATGATAAAATAACAAGTTACATGGCATTTTTGTTAATGAAAAACCTTTTTTGACATTAAAAATTAAAATTTAGGGATAATTTTAATATTTTTTTAAAGTTAAAAGATAATTTTGATGTGAAT